AAACTCCATTTTCTCTCTGTTTATAATAAATATTGGTTTTGTTAGAGTGCTGTTGTCTTGATAATTCCATCCAGATTTCCCTGGAGAAAAGAAAAACCGGTAATCTCTAAGGAAAGGTGCTGAATGGTAGGATTTCTGGAACCTACATACCCAACTCAGTTATGGGCACAGATGGAGGCACCCTATCCCAATGAATGGTGTTGTCGTTAGCCTGCAGTGAGCCAACACAAGGACACAGCACAAAGGCCATCTCTTTTACTCCAGTGTTCACTTGAGTGGGGAACAATTATTTTATATATATATATATCACATATACACACACACACACATATATTAAAGCTGTCAAGCGATTAAAAAAAATTAGTCGCGATTAATCGCGCAATTAAAAAAATTAGTCACGATTAATCGCTCTGTTAAACAATAATAGAATACCATTTATTTAAATAGTTTTGGATTTTTTTACACTTTTCAAATATATTGATTTCAATTATAACAGACTACAAAGTATACAGTGCTCACTTTATATTTAGTTTTGATTACAAATATTTGCACTGTAAAAAACAAAAGAAATAGTATTTTTCAATTCACCAAATACAAGTACTGTAGTGCAATCTCTTTATCATGAAAGTTGAACTTACAAATGTAGAAATATGTACAAAAAAATAACTTCATTAAAAAATAAAGCAGTGTAAAACTTTAGCGCCTACAAGTCCACTCAGTCCTATTTCTTGTTCATCCAATCGCTCAGACAAACAAGTTTGTTTACATTTGCAGGAGTTAATGCTGCCCGCTTCTTGTTCACATCACCTGAAAGTGAGAACTTGTTTTCTGATGGCACTGTTGTAGTCGGCATCGCAAGTTATTTACATGCCAGATGCGCTAAAGATTCATATGTCCCTTCATGCTTCAACCACCATTCCAGAGGACATGCGTCCATGCTGATAACGGGTTCAGCTCAATAACAATCCAAAGCAGTGTGGACTGATGCATGTGCATTTTCATCATCTGGGTCAGATGCCACCAGCAGGAGGTTGATTTTCTTTTTTGGTGGTTCGGATTCTGTAGTTTCCGCATCGTAGTGTTGCTCTTTTACAGCTTCTGGAAGCATGCTCCACATCTCATCCCTCTCAGATTTTGGAAGGCACTTCAGATTCTTAAACCTTGGGTTGAGTGCTGTAGCTATCTTTAGAAATCTCACATTGGTACCTTCTTTGTGTTTTGTCAAATCTGCAGCAAAAGTCCTCTTAAAATGAACATGTGCTTAGTCATCATCCGAGACTACCATAATATGAAATATATGGCAGAATACAGTAAAATAGAGCAAGAGACAAACAATTCTCCCACAAGCAGTTCAGTCACTAATTTAATTAGCGCATTATTTCTTTAACAAGTGTCATCAGCATGGAAGCACATCCTCTGGAATGGTGGCTGAAGCATGAACGGGCATACGAATGTTTAGCATATCTGGCACGTAAATACCTTGCAATGACAGCTACAAAAGTCCCATGCAAACACCTGTTCTCACTTTCTGGTGACATTGTAAATAAGAAGTGGGCAGCATTATGTAAACAATGTAAACAAAGTTATTTGTCTTAGCGATTGCCAGAATGAGAAGTAAGACTGAGTGGACTTGTAGGCTCTGAAGTTTTGCATTGTTTTGTTTTTAAGTGCAATTTTGTAACAAAAAAGTCTACATTTGCAAGTTGCACTTTCATGATAAAGAGATTGCACTACAGTACTTGTGTGAGGTGAATTGAAAAATATGGTTTCTTTTGTTTATCATTTTTACAGTGCAAATATTTGTAATAAAAATAATAATATAAAGTGAGCAGTGTACACTTTGTATTCTCTGTTGTAATTGACATCAATATATTTGAAAACATAGAAGAACATCCAAAAATATTTAATACGTTTCAATTGGTATTCTATTGTTTAACAATGCGATTAAAACTGCGATTAATCACAATTAATTTTTTTGAGTTAATCGCGTAAGTTAACTATAATTAATCAACAGCCCTAATATAGATAGATAGATAGACAGATAGATTTAGGAGGTGGAAGGAATCTGATTTTTAAATGAGCAGCATGTTATTCTAAATATAGTACATGTACTCAGAAATACTGTATTGGATGCATATTAAAATCTGATGTATACATATAAGCAATTTATTCTCTGAACATATTAAGGAGGAATCAAGCTGATCACTAGAGTTCTTCAGCCTATGTCTATAAGGATTTCTAAATAATAAATAAGAAAACAATTAAAATCAGGTACAAGAAGATTATTTTGGTTATAATTTGCCTTTACTTCCCTTCCTACTTCAATTGATTTTTTTTCATTCATTTTTTGGATCATTAAAGACTGCTTTTTATAAATTCATGTATTCATAGATTTAAGGCCAGAAGGGACCAGTCCAACCTACCACATAACTTGCGACATACATTTTCACCAAGTTATTACTGCATCAAGCTCAATAAGTTGTGATTGAACTAGAGTATATCAATCAACTGTAAAAGCTGTTTTGACTATTTAAACATTTTATGAAGTTGTAGCTCACGAGACTCTTAAATCAGACTTGCCAAATTTCCATGATGACATCCAGACTAAAGTCTATTTAATATGTATGTTATTTAAGTAACTAATAAATTTGGAGATGTGTGGTGCGTATGTACAGAAAGGCAGTGTGTGCTGCATTTAGAGTAGAGGACTGGAAGTCAAGGGTGCTGGGCTCCATTTCCAGCTCTGCCAATGACTCACTGTGCGGCCTAGAGCAAGTCACTTCTCCTCTATACCTCAGTTTACTCATCAACAAAATTGATATAATACTATTTACCTCAGAAGAATTTTGTGAGAACAAATGCTTATAAGTAACTGGATTAAAATACAATACGCAAATCGTGATCAGAGAAGGACAAGAACGCATATAAGTAAAAACACCAGCAGCTGCTGGTGCCTTGTCTACCCAAAATCTCCTGTTATTGCTACCACTGGTGTAGCTGCACCAGTGGTAATTTAGGGAGAAATTCTAGGGTAGATCAGGCTTTGTTGCACTAAGGGTGGAAATCCCCAGCAGAAAATAAAATTGTTCAAGCAGTGAATAGGCTCAGGAAAAAAAAGCATTGATTCAATATTTTGTTTTTAAAAGCCTGAAGAATTACAGGGATTTTAATAAGGGGAAAAGTTAAACCACGTTTCATGACAGCCGAAATTGTCCCCTCAATTTCAGCTCCATGTCTGCCATTATTTAACATTAAAACCTAATGTTAGGGGAACTGATATTTACTAAGTAGAAAAGATCAAAAAAAAATGACTGAAGCTACAATTTTGTCATACACAATTTAGTCAATTTCATAGCACAGGTGCTGGGAAAAAAATCCACAGTCATGGAAAGTTCATAGCAGAGGGTTGTGGGAAAAGGCATGTTGAAGAGCAGCCCAGCCCAGCGAGGAGGGAAGGCTCCCAGAGGGGTGTTGGAGAGCAAGCCAACCCCGGAGAAGAGGGGAGACCTCAGGGGACTGGAAGGACAGAAGAGCAAACCCACTCCACTCTCACCTCACAGTGGCGGCTCCTGTCCCATGGGCTGGACCCGTCTCCCTGCTCCAAGCATTGTAACTCTGCGCATTAGGTTGCCACACCACTCAGGTTTGGCACATCCGCCCCTCTGTCTTCATCTACAGATGGGAAGACATGCCAAACCTGGGTGGCGCTGTCACCACATGGGCCAGGTTGCAATGCCCAGAGCAGGGAACTGGGGCCACAGGAGTGACCACTGTGGGGGTCACAAACTTTATTAAAATTCACAATTACTGTGAACACCATCACCTCATCACCAAAATTGTAGCCAGAGTTATGATTGTGACAGAAGAATATTTAGCTTCTACCCATATGTGATACCACAAGTAGATTTTCCAAAATGTCAAACAGATAAAGAATAAACAAACCAAAAATTAAGGCCACTTGTCCTAAATTACTGTACTTTTTACTGTATGAATAAAAATTTGCACATAGTTTTTCAAATAATAACCTAAATACTTTCAGTAGGGTGCAAACTGTCTGTTGAGCAGACAACAGTTCATTTGCCCTCTTATGATTATTTCTTTTATTATTAATCACCAGAGAGAATACCTTGAATTAGTATAGAAAATACGTGTGTGTGTGTGTGTGTGTTTATAAAAATCTGATCCTTGGTCTTCTCACAACTGTACTGCTGAACAATAATTTACCAGTGTCCACAATCGGCATACTTATCAATTAATACACTTTCTACTACCTTGAAATCACAGTGCTATCTAATAAGATATTCCAGATTCCTTCCTATATTAAGAGTAAAAATACAGCTTCTCCCTCTTCCCCTCCCCCTCAGTTTCCCTGTATCAACTTGGACAATTTCATTCTAGCTATCTATAGTCAGTGACAGTGTTTCAATAACTGATACACTGTTAATTTATGCAGTATCCAAGTTCTCCCTTCATTAATAAGTAAAAATATTCACTTCATGCCTAGATTTGAAGAAAAATCTTAAACAAAATAAATTAGCATGGATTTTTTGGGCAAAGATTTTTCAATAATAAAATTATACCTCCATTTTTAACGTCAACCTCTCCACCCCACCCCAATAATAAACACACACACACAAATATCAATCAATTATAAAAACATAGTGCTGCTCTTTTGTCACCCTCCAATTAATATCAACAAAACAGGCTTTTGGAGGGGGGGGGGGGGGAAGAATGCTAGATACACACTATTTTTCAACAGAGAAGATTTAGATTAGAGTGAAAGGTCTGCAAGCAAAGATATTAAATATCCACTTCAAAATAGATTTAAGACATTATGATTTTCAAACTCAACCTAAGAACCTTATTTTTCCAGGCTATTTGTGATGCTTTTGTGATATTTCACCTGCACATAAACAAAAATAGATTTCCACAAGCTCTGCATTACAAGCTGCTAAAATTCAAATCAATTGAGAATCATGGAACGGTCTATACAAACTTACCAGCTCCACAGATCCATAATGCTTTCTACTGAACTCTCCACGTCTACAGCCCAAGTCTTCGGAGACAGAGCTGGAACAGAAATGATTCATCAGTAGACATAGTTAACTGGCCCTAAAGCTCCTGCAATACTCAGCTACCATTGACAAAAATCATTCCTGCTGAACAAGGTTTGCGGTGCATAAGCTCATCACTGCAGGGAACCCTCCTTACAACATGCACAACCTCTAGCAGCCATTGCAGTCTAGCTTTCATATTACCCTGAAAGAGAATGAAATGCCTGAGCTTGTTCGGAAGAAAAAAAACATTATTAAATTAAATATTTAGTCATTATGTGATCAACTGAGAGCTCCAGGGTGGATGGTGATTATAAATTGCATTTGAGATCTCTGCCTAACCTAAGGGAAAAGAAACCCTGCAGTAAACTTAACGCATAGAACAGGACAGCCTACATGAGCTATATTTGCTGACACGTGGTATGCTGTAATTAACTTTCTTATAGGAGAATCTCTTTATTTGTCCTAAATACTCATAGAAAAGAAAAATAAAATGATTTTACTTCTGAAGTTTTTAAAAAAACAATAATTAGTTTATAGTTTCCTCCTCCTCCTCTAGGCTTTAGTGACAAAAATAAAATTCTCACTCAGAATAACTGGAAGTCTAGCCCCAAGTTAAATGTGTGTGGGTGCACACATGTGCATTCAAACAGTTATTTCGTATGTGTATAATGTATATCAATTTATGGGTTTGGTATACCTAGAACAAGTGGCAAATACATTTTTCTCTCTCAATACCTATAGTACACTTTGGTCCCACATATATAGTGGTGATATCCATGTTATAAATACCATCTAAAAAAAAGGCAAGGCTGTAATTTAGTATAAACCTTTGACTGCCTGACCTGCACTCTGTCTACTAGTCAATCTCCCCAGCACTTTTTCTGACAACCCAAACCTACCACTAGCTTCCAACAGTCACTACTATTATATAGATTTTTTCAACTTGCTACAAAAATATTTTCCTCAAAAAATTGCTTTGATGCAACATAGGCAACAGTCAGTCACATACCAAGAACAGATATCCTTTTAGATATCTTTGGAAACATCAATGGTAGAAACTGCTGCTTTAACTGTATGGAAGGAAAGTTTCTTAGCTTTCAGTAAGACTCAGAGCACTTGCTTCAGCCCTACAGAAACCAAAGGTACCAACATTTAAAATTACAATTTTTAATATAGAAAAGCTATTTTTGGTTGTATTTACAGGTATTTAAAATGCCTTAGTTATTATTTTCTTTTGACTTGTGTGTGGTTGGACTCAAGGCAGCATAAATTTCGGTGGAAAAATACAAATGAAACAGCTCTAATAAAAATTTTTAAACTTGCCAAAATAATTCTAAAATACTTTCTCTCAAACATAAGGATTATACAGAAAATACAATGAAGCATTACTGGTACTCATTTGAGATGACCCGCATTACACAAGTATAAGCTGCTGATGGGTAGAGTTGCCATCCCAAAGTCATGCCAACACAACCTTCACATTACACCACTCCATCATGTAGTCTATATCTATTCATCCACCACCTACTTATAAAAATCACACACACACACACACACACACACACACAGAGAGAAAAAAAACACTATATTCTTTAGTGAAGTATGGAAAACTGGATAAGAGAACTGAGTTCTGTGGACATAATTCAGATCTTGGACAGGATTTTCAAGAACACCTACATCATGTTTGAAAGTGAGATTTACACACTTTTAAAATGTTTATCACTTACCACACAAATGAATATAAACAGATTATCCCACATGCAATGATTATACTGTATTATATTACATATAACTAAGGCTTTAAAATAAATTACAGTAGATTCCACTTTATAGCAATACTGATAATAGCAACTTCCAATTACTGGCAATACACTGTCAGGAACCAATCCCATCCCATTATGAATGTTAATAGGACTCAGTTACTGGCAATAGGCATGCCGCTTATTAGCAACTTTTTTAGAGTAGAGTTCCTATCTGTAATCAATTTCCTGGCTCTAAGAACACATAGCTCAACACTTCCGCTGCGTACCATAGCCTCCAAATGCTTGGACCTATCTTTCACCAATAAAGTTTGGGTTCTGGAGCCCCTATGTGAGCCCAGTGCTAAGCAAGTGCATGTAGCCAAAAAATGTGGTATCTCAAAGTCAAGTGTTTGACCGATTCTGAAGAAGAGCCCTAACATTTTACAGGAGCATAGCAGCCTTGGTTTGTGCTGCTTCAAGCATCAACACAATGGAAAGGAGGCAGATGTCGGTGAAACCCTGTAACTCTGGTTTCAGCATAAGCTTGGCCAAGGTGCTCGACTCTCCAAACCAAAGCAGAAATAAAGCTAGTCAGCTGGCAGCAGAGCAGGGGAAGGAGTTCAACCCTTCAGATGGCTGGCTCATTCAATGGAAAGCCCAGCACATTGTCGTTCAACAAAAAAAGCATAGCAAGAAACAAGACACTGATCTTCTGGTGGCTACTGAATGGAGGATAGACACCTTACCCAGCATTCTAAAGAAGTTCCAGCCGCGTGACATCTTGAGTGCTGATGAACCTGGTCTCTTCTACTGGACTTTCCCGACAGAGGCTGTAGCATGATGAAAGAAGGGTTTGCAAGATGGGGAAGAAAAAAAAATAAAGCTATGGACCACATTTCATTGGTGTGTTGTGCAAACAGGGATGGAATGGAGAAATCCTATCTTATGGTGGTTGAAAAGAGCAAGTGGCCTCATTGTTTCCCAAGGACCACTCAAAGTTGCCATGATCTACCAAAGCTCTGCAAATGCCTGGATGCAAATTTGTTGTTTGAAGAATGGCTAAATTGCCCGGCTCATTCACTTAACGTAGAGCTATCACACATTGAGTTAAAATTCTTCCCTCCAAACACAACCTTAGCCATGCACCCAATGCACATGAGTATCATTAAAAACTTCAACGGTCTCTACTGTGATCATCTTACTGCACGCATCATCACATCTCTTGATGCTGACCCACACTTACAAACATTGGATGTTGACAAAGAACAATTCTGATTGATGTATTTCATCTTGTTAATAAGTCATGGGCCATTGTTCTCCCCAAGACTGTTACAAACCCTCCCTTGCTAAAGCAGTTTTCAACAGCAACAGAAAGTGTTGGCCTGGTGGACATAATGCGATGGCCAATGCATCAGTTCCGGAAACTTTAAAAGCACATGAATTTGAGGCCATTGTTGAATATGACAGTCATTTGCAGACGGAAGGTGAGCTCATCGGTGCAGAATTTCTGGAGACAGTAGTGGCTGTGAAGCACCTACAGGCTGCTGAGCCACAAGACAATAGTCCATTGGATGATGAACCTGAAGAGCCTTCGGTTATAGAACAGCTACGTGCAGTGGACATTTTCCACAAGATATGATAGAATCATGGCTTTGAGAATGGCTATGAGGCTGCATGCAAGACTGAAGGATTTACAAGTGGAGGTGGCCAACCATAAAAAGCAGACAGACAAATTTTGTTCTTGAAAACTTTTATTTTACATTTTAAACAAAAAATGCTTTACTCTGACACACATGAGGAGCACTAACTGTAAGTATGTACTGTTCATCTTACCAAGACATTATACTATAAATGTTTTGGTGCTTTTGAAAAAACTTTTTTGTTATAAAATTGTCTGGCACTACAGTCTTTGTGACTCATAGCAAGATGAGATTTCTAAAGTTTGCTCCAAGCTTCATGGTACGCTATATAATGTATCCATTTGTGTGTGTCACGTTTGGTTTTCTTCTTGAGAACATTGTATCAAACTAAAAGTTAATGAAAAATTTCACTTTGCAATGTATCCTTGTTCCACACTAGCATTTCTATGTATCCCCATGAAAACAGGGCCTTCCACTTATTGGCAACTTCCAAATAATAGCAACTTTTTTCTGGAAACTGAGAGGTTTCTAATATGCAGAATCTACTGTATTTTATTTGGCAATTCAAACAATAAAACATGAAATGTTGGCCTCAGGTGTTTTGTCACCATTTCCTAAAACAGAGCAATGGTTTTTTTACACAAATTTAAGATTTTAGCTTTTGATTGGCTATAAAATGCACTTGGATTTGATTGCAGACCATTTCCTGGAGATCTCAGTGAAATAACTTCAAGGTAGTAACATCCCACATATCTGTCTGAAGTACTTATGTGTGACATAGAGAAGTACTGTTATCCCCATTTTACCTGAGGTACTTATCAGTTTGCCCAAGATCATAGGAACTATGTGGTAGGGCAGGGAATTGAACCTAGGTCTTCCAAGTCCTAAGCTAGCACCCTTACCTCTGCCATTTGAGCTAATGTGTACTATTTGCATTGCAGTAGTACTGCTGTATGGATATTGATCTCAAAGGCCTAAGGAGTTAAACGTGTTATAAACTCTTTCACTGTCCAACATTGAACAGAGATAGATAGGTTTGGGGTTAGTTTTAAATAGTTTGGGGTTTACTCTGTTACTTGGCAAAACACCCAAAATCATTCATTCAAATTAAAAATATACTGATTAAACAAAACAAAAAACAAAACAAAAAAGAAAGAACAAGAAATTAAAACAAGCATTTATATTGAAACTGAGTGATTATGCAAAAGAAATTTCAGACCTTACCAAAGTCTCTCTCCTTTTGGAGTCAAAGTATCAGACTCTCCCATTTTCAGAACAACTTTTCTCTGATGAAAAAAGGAAAAAGTTAATTTTACTCTCAGTCCTAATGTGAAGGAGATTCACTTGTCCTGTTCTTAAGAAACAGACTCAAGGTGGAGGAGAAACAGGATAGAAAAGGAAACACTGGACCACTGGTTAGTTACGAGTGGATGCTTTGGCTGGCAAGTCAACCACGACACCTGCTCTTTAAAGCTTGATTAGTTATGATCTGGTCAGGGCCATCATCTGGCTGGATCCTTAGACAAGGCAGTAATGATGAATGCAGTACAGCTGACTTCAGGATTTGATGAAAAGCCAAGAGAGTAAGATAGGACAGGAGGAAAGAAAGAGTGGGGAAGAAAACAACAGAGCAAGGGAAGGGAATACAATATAGGATCTTACAAGCTTTTGTAGTGCTGGTAATTAGCTATCTCCACTGGAGGTCTGAGGACTGGATGCCATGATAATCTGATGATTTTCAGCACTTACAGATGAAAACAAAGTTCCTTAAACAAGAGCAAGGCCAACCAGCATTCGTCTCAGGAGGAAAGTCTTTTAGATGAGCCAAGATGAGTTGCAAAGCTGGCAGAGGAGCTGAGGGAAGATTGTTTCCCGAGCCACAAAAAGTAGTAAAAGTGGGTGGCATATATTATCCTCATTATTTTGTCAATCAATTAAATCAATTTCCGTAAGCCAAAATTGGGAGAAGTAACTTTGTTCCCACATTTTCTTGTTTATCAAGTATGATCTCCCCATAGTCGTTGACTTATATCAATAGGTCATTTTGTTTGGACAGACAGTTTTTCTGTCTGGTTTCCTTGCACCTATTATAATATTCACTGTCGTAAACAACTTAACCTATTTTTCATGGTTATTGTAACATCTTATGAACTTTCATATACCTTTTACAACTGAGCTTAGGGTATCTTTCCAGGTGCAATAATCACAACAGTACCTCAACGCCCCAATCAGCAGAACACACCATTGTTCTGGTCCTTGTGCAATCATATAAGTAGACAATTCCTGTCCCAAAGAGCTTATAATCTATTTAAGACAAGAAAAATAATGATTACTAACAGCAGGACAACAAGAGGGAGAAATTAGAAAGGGAGAGAGTAATTATGAGATCCTGCATCTACATAGGCTGCAACTGTCTGTCCCATCCAGAGAGTCCACTCTGGTCTGTGTGGTTGCTACAGGAGGCTCAGTGAGGCTGGCAAGCACACACAGTGCAGATGGAATTTTCAGATATTTTAGTAGCAAGCCTGTGGTTTATAACTTGGCCAAATCTGAATGGATTTTCACAGGAACAGCAAAAGGCACTTCCCTAATCCTAGGACAACCCCCTGCCAAATTTTGGGTTCCTGCTCCAAATCCACAAGAGCTCCTTAAAAACTGGTCAAGAAAATGGGTTATTGTTAAAACTACCTATTTTTCTCTGACTATTTTTGACTATGGCTGAATTGTTTTTGCTGAGAAAAAAACATGTGAGGCAGAGTCCAAACATGGAAAGAGTCAACCTGAGTTATTTAAACTTTGGAAAAGTTATAAACAATTGAAAATACAGTGTTCTAATGGGAAATGTTATGTAACATTAACAGGGTTCAGAGACAGCAACCCATATAATATATATATATATAATCATCAATCCCTATTGGCTCTCTACCTAGCCACTATCGACAATTTCCTATAGACTTAATTATAGAAGTGGGTGTTGAAATTGGGTTGTAAGGCCTCTACCCTAAGACTGTATTACATGCATAAGAGGATGGTATGGAAGAAAGCATGGAGATGCTTGTGCAAGTAATGGACAGTTGAGATTGGCATCATTGGTAGATCACTGATGTGAGAACATATATAGCAGATGGATAAGGAGTGGAAGCAGTGTGAGGGTCCTTGTAGGTTCAGGCAAACTTGAATTTAACATGGTAGAAATGGGAGAGTCAATGGAGGGATTTAGAGAGATTGTGATCAGAGGAACAGCTAAGCAAGATGATGTTAGTAGTTAGGTACTGAATGGACTGGAGGAGGTGACATGGATGTGGGGAGCTCAAAGGAGAAGCGGTTGCACTGATTAATTCAGTAGAGGATAAAGGCTTGGGAAAGAGTTTAGTTACATGGAGAGAGAAAAAAGCCAGATCTTATAGATGTTATAGAGGAAGAAGTGGCAAGATTTGGACATGGCCTAGATCGGTAGAGCAAGAAAGAGAGGAGTCAAAGATGGATGGAGTAAATGAGACCCTTTTCTAATTCTTGACATGGTGGACATCTCCCTTATATTCTCTCACACACACTTCAAGTCCCAGCCTCCTCCCCTCACTCATGTCATCCAGCCTTCCACAGCTTCCCAGGACGGGGGAGAATAGTACAAATGGGGGAAGGGAGTTCTTGTGGCTATCAAAAGTGAGAGGGAGAACAACTAGGAAAGATTTTTTCATTTTTACTGCTTCTTTCATTTTGCAGCTCGACGGAAGTTGTGGCAGGAGGAGTGAAGGGAAGAAATAGTCCCTCATACCTTCACTGATTCCATCCATGTGGGAGAGGAAAATTTGATGTCATCTCTGCTTGTTTATTTCTGCCAGAAAGTAACTGTTGGGCTCTTATTCAATAAACTATCTCTGGGCATTGATAGTCAAACTAATTAATGTCAAATCTCTAATTCCCTTTAATGGGAAAGGTTATCAAGAAAGTAGTGGGGCAGAGTCCTTAGATTTCTTTGACCATGATCGATATAGTTTTAAACCCGGGTATTGTATGGAGACTACAGAGGTTTAATAGGCAGCAGGTTTAAAACAAATAAAAGGAAGTATTTTTTCCACACAACACACAGTCAACCTGTGGAACTCCTTGCCAGAGGATGTTGTGAAGGCCAAGACTATAACAGGGTTCGAAAAAGAACTAGATAAATTAATGGAGAATAGGTCCATCAATGGCTATTATCCAGGATGGGCAAGGATGGTGTCCCTAGCCTGTTTGCCAGAAGCTGGGAATGGGTGACAGAGGATGAATCACTTGATGATTACCTGTTATGTTCATTCCCTCTGGGGCACCTCGTATTGGCCACTGTCAGAAGACAGGATACTGGGCTAGATGGACTTTTGGTCTGACCCAGTATGGCCGTTCTTACGTTAAGATACCAATAAGATATTGGTGGATCTCCTGCTGGCAAATTACAAGAACCAGATATTCATTCTGATTTTAATTTGCTCAGCACCTCTGATACTGTGCCACCACCACCTTCTGGTCAACAACTGTGGACATTGACAGGGATGGAAGGAATAGTTTTTGAAGTGGCTCAGTTCTTTTCTTGTTGAAAGGATTCAGGCCCTGGTATTTGCTTTGTATTGGTTCTGGTATTTGCTCATCTACCCCAAGAGTGGTCTGGACCACAGTTTCTCCAGTATGCAGAAGGCACTCATCTTTATGTTTGTTTCATTAGGTCCGGCTAGTAAGCTGCCTCTTAGTGTCTTGTTGAGATGAGAACTTGCAGAGGGTAAGTTGATTGCACTTTAAGCCAGATGAGACTGAGGTGATACTGATGGTTTGGGAGAACTGGCGATAATAGCTGCCCCCTCTATTATGAGAATTTGTCTGCCTTTTATTATTCAGGTTTGTAAGGTGGGAGTCCTGATGGACCTGCAGCTGCCAATCAAAGTTCAGGTAGTGGCAGTGGTCAAGATTACTTAAAATTTATGCTTGGCCAGGAGGCTACATCCTCTTCTTTGGTACCCCTGATGGACCTAGAACTTTAGGTGCTCAACTTGGTAATCTATTTGCTGAGCACTGTTGTCAGTAGCTACTGGTCTGGTGCTCTGCTCTTGTTCGATGATGATAACAGTCGGCTGCGTGCGTCTTCCCTCTGTGTGCTGCCCCAGTTCTGCACAGATAGCTGACACAGCAAACCCTGAGAGAACCCCCAAAGACCACACAGACTCTAGTAAGGTACGAAGGAACCCGAGCCAGGTTTATTGTCAAACGAAGCACAGTAATATTTTCCCGTAGACGCTACAAGACATACTACGAATGTGTGCCCCCCTGGCAATGGACCGGCTCACTCAGTGGCGGGACTTTCCACTGCCCCCAGGCCAGACAAAGATGTGCACTCCGGGACCTATTTTTATACAGTTACAGGACAGATTACTCATTCCTACTGACGTATTGAGGTACAGCCCCTTGACTCATTAGGGTGCTGCCTCCCCCTTTGATCATGTTGTTTCAAACAAACAGATCTATCCATCATGCTGTCCTTTTGACCCTGTCCTTAAGATGCACCTGCCTGTTCCTTGTTATCTCTGTGGAGTGTCCTCGTATCCGGATGTCCAGGTGCCATCTTGGCACAAGTTCCTCTGATTAGCACTTATATGTGGATGCACCTGCTTCTAGCAGCCCTCTTCTTGCCAACTTCTGTGAGTGGGATCTGCCTCTGGCTCACAGCCCAGCTTTTGCTTAGCAATGCCTGGAAGTACTTTGGTTCAGGCTTTAGGCCTCAGACTGGGCCTTTGACACAAGAGTTTATGTTTCAGGGCCTCATCTTACTACAAGCACCATTTCTTACAGGGAGTATATTGCATCTGCATTCTCTGAGCTACATAGGATTCTCATTGGTCCTCCAGACTCAAAGTCCAGAGTATGGTCAAGAGACCAGAGGCCCAGCAAATAGTGATCAGCTAAGAGAAAGCTGGGGTAAACAAGATAACATTGCCTTTGCTAAAGATATGCTTGGTCAGTAGAACTGCCAGATGTTGAAGCAATAACTGAATAATTATGTTTCATCCAATGTTTCAAATTGAACAAAGGATCCCTGTTCCTATTGTGTTAGTCTCTTCTGTAGGGAAACGTTCTTCCCATAGATCCAACCTTGAGTTTATGAAAAGTTGGCACATGTCAGTATAAGATATGGCATCCTTCCAACTCTCTTCCCAGGGACCAATGCTTGACTTAAGACATAAAGGAGACAATCTTTATTGCCATATACTTTCACTGTTTCTTTGCTTTAACCCCTAGGAATGTACCTGTTGGACAATCA